CTCCCAGTACCACCCCACCAAAAAAAGTATATAGAACTGTAAAACCTTGCTAATTAAAGGTGGTCTGAAGGGCAATAGGATTAGCTTCACTTGGGCCTTTGCTAGAAATACAGAATCCCAGGTCCTACTCCAGACCTTGGGGATCAGAATCTGCTTTTTAACAGGATCCCCATATTTATTTGTACCTCAAAGTTTGAGAACTGCTTTGACATGGAATCTGGGCTGGGGATGTTGCTTAGTAGGATAGCATTTGCCTCATATCCCAGGCCCTGGGTTCCATCCCTACTACTATTAAATTAAAAATAAAACAAAACAAAAAGGAATCTAGTAGAGTGTGGTGGTGCATGCCTGTAATCCCAGTGACTGGGCAGACTGAGACAGAGGATCACAAATTTGATGACAGTCTCAGCCACTTAGGCCCTAAATAACTCAGCAAGACCCTGTCTCAAAAAATAAAAAGGGCTGGAGATGTAGCTCAGTGACAAAGCACCCCTGGGTTCAATCCTCAGTACCAAACAAACAAAAAAAGGAATCCATGGAAAACAATGAATGGGAGTGGAAGTAATGGAACGCCACTCAGGCTACGGAAGGAGGAGGAGTGCTGATACAGAGCCATTGACCAGCTGAAGATCAAATGCAGTGCCTTATAGCTAAGAAATGTAGCCTTCACCTTTGGGGAGTGAGGGAGGACCATCCCAGTGACTTCACAACCCACAAGGGCTCAGTATCTCAGAAGAGAATCAGGGCAGGGTGGCTCTTCCTCCCTTCTCCAACCTGGGAGTTCTATGGGTTGGCTTTTCAAAATAGGTCTCTGATTAAGGCAGGTTTCTTCTCTATGGCTAATCAGCCCGAGACAATAAAATTTCTCTGTATATTTACAAGTCACTTATTGTTCTTTCAAACAAGTTACTGTGGCCATTTATTTGTTGGAAATAGAGAAAAATTTTCCCTAGATTTTAATATAGGACAATAATTTTCTATTGTGTTAAAATTCTCATTTCCCTAAGCTCTTGTTCTGATTGATATAACCTATTGGCAGATTATATGGCACAGGAAATCAGGCAAAAGGGATGAGAATGATCATGTATTGATTTTCTTAAAAGAATGATGCTTATGTGTAGTTAGTTCATCAAATCCCCCAAACATCCTGATTGTTCCACATGGAGAAATGAACTAAGAGAAATTAGTAACCTATGTCAGGTCTCATGGCCATAAAAATGATAGAAATCTTGATTCAAATTCAGATCTATCTCAACCCAGAACATATTCCTTTCTGTGCGCAGACCCTAGTCTGCACTGCCTCATACTGGCTGTTTTGTTGAATTTGGGCTGATATTGCCTCTGGCCCATGTTATGTCTGCCTTGAGGCTGAAATGAGACAGTGCCAAGACTCAGCTTAACATCACAGGCTTTTGTATTTCCTGAACTCTCAGCTATGAAAACATGACAAGGCCTTTTTTTTTTTTTTTTTTTTTTTTAAAGGCATTTCCTGCCGAATGAATCCTAGGAAGTACTGGGAATCTTAGGGATCTTGTAGCTTTTTTTTTGTACTGGGAACCAAATCCACGGGCACTTTACCCCTGAGCTATATCACCAGTGCTTTTTATTAATGAGGCTAGCTTCAAGCTTGTGATCTTCCTGCCTCAGCTTCCCAAGTTGTGAGGATTATAGATGTGCGCCACTGCTCCCAACCTAAAGGGGTTTTTCAACACCCCTACCCCCTTTTCCTTTTTGATGAAAAAAATCATTCTTGTAGGTCCAGCAACACGGGGCTGGGAGATGCTCTGAACAACAAAGCACAGAAGGCTCATCTTCTGAAATTCTTTAAGGGGTATTTTTAACTACCTTGTAGCCTCATCCATTCAATTTAGCACCCTGATAAGGAAGAGTGGTCTTCTTCCATCAATCTTGTAAAATAGGAGATCTGTCATTCAAGTCTACATGTCACCTAGGGGCACTGCCACATGACCTCATGGATACAAGGATATCCAGGATCTGTGAGTGGAATGTGAAACAAGACAAACAGAACCTTCCTGCTTAGGGCTCAAGCTTGCATGATATGGTCCTGTTATGGCTGTAGGAAGGGCTATTTTACAAAAAAATAATATGTCTGGTGCTAAATGAACATTAAAGAAGAGATTCAGTTCCTGTCTTTAATATTTCCATACTGTGGTACACAAAACCCCAAACCAAAAATCTGTGTTATTACTTGTACGTATAAACAAAGTCACAAAAAACCCAGCTTGTTGAGGTTGGGAGTTCTCACTCCTAAGCTTCCCAATGCAGGTCCTCTCTGGGGTTTTGCAGTACCTCCCTCTTGCCCTCATCATCCAGCCCACTTTGCAAGCAGAAGTACCAGGTTGACACTTCTGAATGCAATAGTTTTCTGATGACTCCCTTGTAAACATTTTCAGTGCTGCCAACTCCTACAGAACTCTGCAATACAGTCAGGTATCCCAGGTCTTCCACTTTCTAACCTCAGTGCGTAGCTCATTTTCCTCAGTGCTTAGCTTCTCTCTTGACTTTTAAAAAACCATTTAGTTTGGTTCATTCTCTTCCCTAAATCTCTATTTAGTCTTTCCAAACTCAGCTGATGGGTCATAGCTTTGAGGATACCTTTGTACAAGTGCACCCTCTCTATTGGTTCTTACAGTACTTTAGACTTAGAGCTGGGTATGGTGGTGTATACCTGTAATCCCAGGAATTTAGGAGGCTGAGGCAGGAGCATGGACAACATAGTGAGATTCTGTCTCAAAATAAAAAATAAGAGAAGGAGATGTAGCTCAGTGGTAATTAAATCCCCAGTAAACACACACAACACACACACACACGAGCATAGACACTGGAGCCAGAGGACATGGATATTAATCCTAATATGGCCACTTATATTACTTGAGTGAAATATTTTGTTCATGTTGCTATAGATTCCCATGTATGAAAAAGGCAATTAGTAGTCTTACTTCTCTAGCTATCATGAAGATGTAAGAACAGTTTCTGGCATGCAGTAAGCGTGCAGTGAACATTATCATTAGCAACATTTACCATATTGATACCCTGCACTGGAGTCTGCTTCATTTATCAACTCTTAAGATCTCCAAAGTCCAGAACAATTTCTGTTATCTGTGAAACCCTGAGGCTAATGGAAAGCCAGAGCTAACTACTATGCCTGAAATAAAGTTAGTGCCTTCTTAGATGAAGTAAACATGAAGGGAAAAACATTCTTGGTGGGAATAATGTTCTTTCCTCTTGAAGATGGTTGTTAAACAGCAGGGCTATTTGGTGATGAGAACAATTTGAGGAGATCTCTCAGGGGTTGTGTGGAGACTGGGCAAAAAAAAAAAAAAAAAAAAAAAAAAAAAAAAAATTATTCATTAGTAGCTTTAGCAACTCCTACCCCAAACCTCTCCCTCAACAAAAGGCATTTT